ATAGAATATGAATTCTACGGATAAATATTATTAGGTCCGAAAATATAGCAAGAATATCTTAGAAAATATTCTATTACCATATTTAAAACTCCATTTTTTTTAAAAAAAAAAGGAAAATTCGATTTTCTTTTAAAAAAAGGAAAATTCGATTTTTAAAAAAAGAGAGGAAAATTCGATTTCAAGATTTTAATTTTTAATTTTTAATTTTTAAAAATATAGCAAGAATATCTTAGAAAATATTCTATTACCATATTTAAAACTCCATTTTTTTTTTTTTTAAAAGAAAATTCGATTTTTTTTTTAAAAAAAAAGGAAAATTCGATTTAAAAAAAAAAGAGGAAAATTCGATTTCAAGATTTTTATTTTAAATTTTAAATTTTTTTTTAAAAAAGGAAAATTCGATTTTAAAAAAAAAAAAGAGGAAAATTTGATTTCAAGATTTTTATTTTTAATTTTTAATTCGATTTCAAAATTCAGTTTCCTTCGTCTTTTTTTCCCCCGATTTCAAGATTTTTATTTTAAATTTTTAACGATTTTTAAGTGAATTTAAGGGCATTATTGCCATTTAGAAAATATTTAGCCTAATGGGACAATAAGTTAATGAATTTAACCTAAAGGGACAATGTCCAAACCTATTTGGCTTAAAAAACTATTTTCTCTTTAAATATTTACACAGATTTGTTTTGAAGAATCTCTATAATATTATTTGAGAAGTCAGTTTCCTACGTGTCGTGCTCACGTTAACTCTCGCGATGGTTGATTACATAGATACCCTTAATGAATTGTTAGATTTTAAGTTTATTATTAATTTTTTTATTTAGTTTCTTTTTTACTTTTTCCAAATAACATATATAGTAAAAAGAAATATTTCTAAAAGTTTAAAACAGATTTAAAAACGAAAATATATGTATATAATATGACTTTATTAAAAAGGAAAGTTCACAAAATAGTAATATACCCCATTAATATATATATTTTAAAATAACATATAATATATTTTCAAAATAATAAAATATATATGTTCATGAACATCCAAAATTTATCAGTTACACTTTATTTTCTAATATTTTTAGAAATCAACATATAACTTGATAAATAGTATGAAAATACTTGTATATTTAAACGATAAATAAAACTAATTTGATTTGACTTACCTAAAATAAGGAATAAATAAATATTATGACAATACATGTATATTTAAGCGATAAATATAACTAATTTTATTGTACTTAACTAAAATAAAAAGTAATTATACTTCAATTTTAACTCAATATACTCACAACATGAATGACTTGACTAATTTAATTTATATCCAAAATTAAACATCTAACTATAATAAGAACATATAATTTTATAGTAATAATAATCTATTTAATTTTGTACATATAAATTAGAGGTTGACTCAAAGCATATTATAAAGAAAAAGGTAAGATTAACCAATTACAATTTATTCTTCTGTAAAATTTATATATAGGCATGAGACTTCAAAATATTATCATTATATTCATTTATGTAATTTTGAATCAAACACTTCAGCTTATTATTTATTTTAGTTTAAGCACAATATATATATATATATATTAAGTTATATATAATTTAACTATAATATATTTACATATCTAAGACAATAACCAACCGAAATGAAAATAAGAAAATTAATCATAGTTTATTATATTTACAATAAAAATAGTATAGCTGAATTCGAAAAATAAATATTATCCGATATACCAAATTGATAACCAAACCAACTATTGATCCAAAACATAACTAAACCGACAATAATATATCCAAAGTCATATGTATAATTAGAATAATTTAATATTTATTAATATAAATTATACATATAAACTGATACAAAACTAAAACTAAATATCAATCAATTATTATAAAATTTTATTTTTATGAATATTTATACCCGTGCATGAGCACGGGAAAATCACCTAGTTATACTTAAATGACATTGATCAAAAATTAACAAACCTATTCAAACGAGAGGAATAATAAGTTAAATACTAGAGAAAGAAATAAAATCTTTTGCAAAAATGAAGAGTAAAAGATTACATAGAAGAAGACATAAGAGACACCTTTTTTTAATTAAAATTTTAAGATATGTTTAAAATGATATTGCGTAAATAAGAAAATATTCTTTTTTACATAAGAAATATTCTTATTGAAACTGTTAATCTAAAATTAATAATACTAATGAATATTTAGATTGGATAATTAAGTCAAATTCACATACAAAAAATGTATTTCCAAAAAAAGATAAATAAAAGTTAAGTTTTCAAATTAAAATCTCATGTAATATACTTTTCCAAATTTTCCCTATTTTAAATCTGAATCCACTAATGAGTTACGAGATATTAATTGGAATCTCTTCTACCCATCATTCTATTGGAAGAACCCATTCATTGTCTGATTCATTGGATGACTGAACACTTCTCTAGCTAGCATTTCCAATAGATGTATGTCGTGTTCGAAGATGGAATAATTTTGTCTCTAAAAAAGTTACACTTCAAACTATATTTCTTTGTTATGTTAGAAATTTCATTTGTGCCACATACCAATTTTTTTGGGGTCTGCCCCTGTCCATCTCTGCCAACATCCTACAACACACTGAAAAAACAATGTGACCACTATCGCTTGTTTTTTATTAACCGCAGTCCGTCCAGCTTTAAGATGATAAGACCATTTGATTTAGAAACCAAAATACGCTAAGACAGGGAAAAAAAACTGACAGATTAGAACACATTGTATTCTTAAAAACCTTCTATCCTAAAATAAAGACAAAGTCTGGGAAACTTTTCTATATTTGTAATAATTTTTAAAAAAGTAAAATTTTCGAAAGTACTTTTACGAAAAGTTATATATATATATATATATTTTTTTTTTTTTTTTTTGTCAAAAGTTATATTTTGTGTGAATTAGCTAAATACCAGCAAATACTGAGATACCATAAAAGAGGGCATATACCTAATTTGGTGGTTTTGTGTGTATGTGCAAATACTCTTATACTAGGTGATTTTCCCGTGCACATGCACGGGTATGAATATTTATCAAGTAAATATATATATATATATATATATATATATATATATATATATATATATATATTGTAATATATTCTAATTTGTTAATTTACATAGATATTTAATTTTAATTATAAACTAATTTAAATTTATATGTATAACTTATAGTAATAGTATTATATTATTTTAATTATACATACGATTTAGAAGATTTTATATTTAATCGGTTTGATTGTTGTTTTTTTGTCAATAGTTTATTTGGTTACACTTATGTATTTTATATTGCATCTATTTTTATTTGTATTTAGATTGGTTATCGTCTTATATATGTAAATATAAATTTAGTAAGATTACGTATAACTTAATATATATTATGCTTATAAGGAAATTAAAAATAAACTGAAATTTTGACTCAATATTACATAAATGAATATAACGATAATATTCTGAAGTCTCCTGCATATATATAAATTTTACAAAAAACTTAATTATTACAGTTGATTAATAATTTATTTTTCTATATTGATATTTTTGAGTCATCCTGTAGTCTATATCTATAATTATTCTAAAATTATATGTTCTTGTTGTAGTTAGATCTTTTATTTTTGATATAAGTTAGTTTCGTTCCGTTATTCGTTTTGTGAGTCTATTGAGTTATATATATTTTTCTAATTCAAATGAAAATATAATTATTTTTTATTCTGATTAATGCAAGTTTTTATAATATTTTAATAATTGGATATATGTAGATTTTTAAGAATTTTAAAAAATAACGTGACGATCAATAGGAATTTACATACAAAAATATGAGTATAGAGATAAACTTTTGAAATTTCATGAGCACATATTAATATTTAAAATAATCAAATATTTATAAGTTATAAATTATTTTATGCCTTAGATTTCTTGAAAGGTAAACTGATACGTATTTTACACAATCTTAAAAATGAGAACTTAGATTTACTTGAATATTTTATTATTTATATATTAAGTTCCATAAACATAAAAACATAAAATTCAAAATCAAACTAAATGTTAAAAAGAATTTAGGAACTTAATAAAATAATAATGATAAAATATAATATTTCAATTTCATTAATAGTGTATAGTGCTATGCTATTTGAAAGGATTTTGAAATTATTTGATAAAAATATTTATTTTTGTAGAAAAAAAAACACACATAAATAAAAAATGAAATATTTAAGAAACATAAATCTTTATACTGTATATAAACGAAATTTATTTTTTTGAAATTTTCCTAAAATAATATTTTTAGTGTTTATTTAAGAGATATTAAAAAGGAAACATATTTTTTCTACACAAATAAATATTTTGATCAAATAATTTCAAAACTAAAAATAAATATTATGTGTGTTTAAAAAAGTAAAATTAAATTAAAATAAAAGGTAAAATCTTATTATGAAAAAATAAAATATATTATTAATATCAATTTTATTTAATATGATTAGTTTATTAAGGGTATATGTAATCAACTATCGTGAGAGTTAACGTGGGTACGACACATAATAAACTGACTTCTCAAATAATAAACTGACTTCTCAAATAATATTATAGAGATTTTTGCTTTAAAAAAAAAAAGGAGAGAACTTTTGGAAATTTCCAAAGTCGGAAGTGTGATGAAGCTGCGGAAAACGACGAAGGCTAACGTGAAAGCCACAAACTGACTCAGCCATTCACACACACACCCTCTCGTTCTCTCATCACAGTTCCCATTACATTTCGAAAATGCAAACCCTAACGCTCCTCGTCTCCTCCGTCGTGGTTCTAATCATGAGAGCCGCCGCGTTGGGAGGAAACACCAACAATGTTTACTCGCCTTGCTCCGACACCAGAATCCAGAGATCCGACGGATTCACATTCGGAATCGCCTTCTCCTCGCGTCCTTCTTTCTTCCTGAACCAGACGGCTCTTCTCTCTCCATGCGACCGTCGACTAACCCTGGCGGCCATGAACTCTCAGCTCTCTGTTTTCCGTCCTAAGGTGGACGAGATCTCTCTTCTCTCCATCAACACCTCTTCGTTCTTCCCGGTAGACTCGCAGATTCTTCTCCTCCTGATTTTTACTATTTGATTATTTATTAATCAGAGTTTAGATTTCGTTGACTTTGACTACTCTAATTAGATTGGATTGATTTATGTGTACTAATTAGTCAGTGTTAAAATTGATAAGTATCAGATTTGTTTAACTACAAGTCAACATGAATCTTTCTACTTTAGGTAACGACGGGTTTAAGGACGTCTCGTGTCTACTAAACACAATTGTATCATATTTTGGTTTTTGCCCATGATTAGGTTCAAACATCACTGGGTTCCATTCCATGTGCAATTGGCTAGAATATGATATGTTTTGAATGGCAGGACAACTATGGTGGATATATGGTGGCTTTCGCTGGTCGGAAATATGCGGCTAGGTCTCCTCCGGCTTTTATTGCTAACTCCACCTACACCGTTACCAGTTTTACTTTGGTAAACAAACCCCTTTTAGTCAAATTATCTTAAAGACTCCAAGGACCTCTTATCATGTTGCTGTTTTAAAAAGGTGATGGAGTTTCAGAAAGGTAGGCTTCAAAACCTCTTCTGGAAGAGAGACGGGTGTGCGTCCTGCAAGGGGAACTCAAACTTTGTGTGCCTCAACAAGCAAGATTGTGCTATCAGAACACCCCGCTGCAAAGGCCGAGGAGGTACTGTGGACTGCAGTCTCGGTATCCAGCTTGCTTTTTCCGGCACTGACAAGCACTTGGCCGTTCTTAACTCGTGGTATGAAGTCGAGAACATGAAGCAGTATTCTCTTTACGGTCTTTATTCCAACCTCAAGAGCTCGCTTACCAGTCAGTTCAACAATTTCTTCTAAACCTTCTTCTTTTTAAAACCTAATTTGCAGAATTGGTTATGGTATGAACCGTTATATCCTTATCTCAGTCAGTTCGAACTGAATCCCACTTACAAAACCATTTTTCTTGCATATCAATCAGGTTCATGAAAATTTGTGTGTTTGTAAAATAATTTTCAAAATCCAAAACCAAACTATTATTTCTTGAAAAGGAAAAGGTTTAACAGCATTAATAACAAAACCAATGTCGGGTTCAGCTTTAATAATGACACCGGTGGTTTATCAAATCTAAACCGATTGTGTTTTCTGCAAATTGAAGCTCAACTCAGATATGGAAAAGCAAGAGAGAGAGATGCATTCAAATTAAATGTGTGTTTTTGGTCCTGTGGGATTACATGATTCCTATGACAACATTTTTCTATTCTCAACATATCTTATAACAGCTTCTTCAAGGGGCCTCATCTTGTGGCGTGTATATATATATATATATATACTGAATCAAGACACTGAATGGGAGAATATGTGCTTCTCTTGATTTTGGCTATGATGATGAGGCAAGGTTGGTGACACCAAAGTAAAGAGTCTTCTGGTTGAAAGCATTTATGGCATAATCAACTTGAAGGTGACCCAACGGAGATTTGAACCGTATCCCATACCCGAACCCATACCCAAACCCTGGCTTCCCATGTCTCAACGACGGGTTTCCTGAAACCAATTCCAATTCCATCAATTTAGTGTTCAAAAACAACTTCTTTTATGGTTCAGAGGAGCTATACCGGGGACAAGACGGCTTGAACCTAGGTCCGTTCCACAATCCAAGAAGATTGTTGCTTCTGTCATCTTGTTCTGCAAATAAATAAGGAACCAAAGCTCAATTAAGGAGCCACAACGAGTAAGGCAACAGCTCCACATACCAAAGGCAATGCCAATTCTGTATTAGCAACGAGGCAAGAGCGTCCGGATCCAACAGCACCCTCACCATATCCACGAACACTTCCTAGTCCACCAATGGCAAATGCTTGATAAGGAGCCATGTCTCCTACAATTGACCCACCTGTCAGGCTGTCACAAAAAAGAGGTCAGCATCAACACCAAAGCCTCCTTCTACTTGTCAAGATTCAGCCAGTACCTTGCTAAAAGAAAGGCCGGTCCAAACCTGACACCTTTTGATGCGACAAATTTGAAACGGTTGAAGATAAGCCACTTGGACACAACCGGAATACCTTGTTCTATTTGCATGCTGAACTGATAAAGCAAGAACACCAGTAATGAGAGATTGGAAAAGGTTTTTTTTTCCAGAATATGAAACAGACACTGAAGAACTTCTTACATGAGAAAGACCTTGGTCGTTAGCCTTTGCAAACCGGGATTCTTGCTTTAAAACGACCATACTGTCATGAGTATTTCCACTGCATAGCAAAGATTTCAAGGCCATGTAAATATCAGTCTTATAAACAAAAACTTAGGTAAGACATTATCTAATATCACCTGCAGGTTACAGGAAATCCATCCACGTCTCTCGTTATCAAACGTCCTTCATCGTTCATAGGACGCACATGCTGCACCAATGGAAGAAAAATATTACTCTTCCACCCTAAAGTAGAACAACATTGCTCAACAGACTCTGTAGAAGGTACCTCAAACTTTACACTGGTTGTGCTGCTCCACTTTGAACTCGCCGGCTCACTCAAGTCTAAACCTACGGCCAGTTTAGACAGATTTACACCTCCACTTCCTGACCGGGAGAAGTTGTCATATGGAGTTCCGTGGACTCCAATCTCAGGTGACAGAGAATGCTGTGATTGACAGATTTATAAATAGTGTCTACTTCAGAAAAAAATGCAGATCGTTTCATTAACACAAGTAAGAAGAGAAAAAAAAGAAGATTATTATCCAAATATTGTTTTATGTTGAAACCTGTATAAAGAAGCACTGTTGGGGACGCCATTCGGGTCTAGGTCTCCTAAAAGCCACCAGTACATTTGAATCATACAACCCTTTATCCCATGATACATCAAGCTTCTCGCTTCCTCCAAACAAATTCGGATGCTTGATACAGAGGCTGCAACACAGTAGATAGAACATTCTCAACTGAAACTATTTCAGTTCTGCAGAGTCAATTATCACTTTAAAGTCAAATAACTTGCCTGCCAATCACTAGAGAAAGAGGACTGCTAGTGTCCCTGTTCAAACAGTAACAAGTTGATACAATTTTTGCATAAGTATTGATTATGGTTTGAGTTAAGTTGAAGAATAGAAGATGGGAGCAAAAACCTGAAAGCAGGAAACATTAAAGAAGTACAAAGCTTGTGAGTGAAATCCACATTAACATCAATCTTGGCTGAAATGCAGTCATACAAATTCACAATTCAGCCTCAGAGAAAAAATACAAGAAAGACAAACAAAAAAGACCAAAACTGATACTTAAATCCGATCATAAATCTTTCACTACTTTCAAAAGCAAAGAAAAAAAGAAGGTGTTTCCTTTAGAAACAACCAATGTAATCACATGCCTACAACATTCAATTACCAAATAGTCACATCAGATAATCATACAATCAGCTATCTATTGGCTGTAGTTCCAGACTTTCTCATTTTGTCCACACATTAATTAGTACTGATCCAAAACACAAGTCAGATAGTCTAGAATAGAAGGAGAATATAAGAATGGACCTCTGCCAGCGTGGATGCTCTTCTGAGCTCCCATGGCGATGGTGATGGCGTCAGTGAAAGATCAAACATGTAGAGAAGCCAATGCAGGATTTGGCATTAAACAAGAAATGGGGTTACTGTTTTAATATAAAAATTGATGAGGAAAAGAGGAATCTTTATTTCGTTGGGAGTGAATTGCAGAGGATTTGATGCTTAGGATATGTAGACAAGGAAGGAAGTTTGGTTTATCTCTTTATTTTGTTTTTATTTTAATCTCTTCTGCGTTATGGGGTTTATGCACGTGGGCCGTCTTTATTTTTGAACACGCTCGTGGGCCGTCTCTACCATCAGATCTAAACCCCAAAACGAAAACCCTAAACTACGTTTTTATTCCAGTTTTTCTTAAATTCAAAGATTTCTATCAACATATTGAGACTTTATGAAAATCTAAGCATTTTTAATAGATTTAGCAGCACCAATAAAATAGCAACTTCTTAAACTACATGAAATTAATGTACTAGCATATACTAGATCATTTTCTGCACTATGCGCGGATAATTACTCTTAAAAATTTACAATTATTTTTTTTTTTTGTCATCAACTGAAAAACACATATTCATATTGATTATGCGAACTAGAACGGTAGTTCTTCATCCATGTGAACGATATAAGACCGTTGCTTCCTGGCACAACGTGCTAGGCTATCCGCCTTTAAATTTTGCATTCGCGAAACATGAATGATCTCTGAGCTGAAGAAACTGTCATTCAGGGTCCTAATGTATTCCAAGTAGCTTTAAAAAGCGGGCCATTCTCCTGATTCTGAAACCGTCTTCACCAATTAAGAACATCTGTTGCGAATGTGCCCCTGAACTACCGTAAGTTCCTCATACACTCCATTGCCTAAATTAAAGCTTCTATTTCTGAATGAAGAGGGGAGATGCACACCCTAACATTTCTAGCACCCATTAGTCCATTAAAGCCCTCTAAAGTACTATACCAGCCTTGACCTAAAAAAGCTCCTTATCTTTCCATGAACCATCTGTAAAGCACCACCGCCCTGGGATTAACGGAGGAGTTAAAACCACATCCCGTTGTGCCTCCCTCTGTGTAATCAGTAATTGTGCTTCGGTCTAATTTCGTCTCTGTTAATTTAAGCGTTTCCCTGGGGTCTATACCTAAATTACTGAAAACCTTGTTGTTCCTTCCTTTCCAGATGTACCATGGTATCCAAGCGTAATGATGATTATCCAATTTTGGTTGGACTCTCCAAAATAAGTGATCCATATTTGTAAAGAGAGATCGAGTGGGAAAAATAGTTGGATTTGATGGTATCCATGAAAGTGCCTAAATTTGACGTGCTGGAGGGCATTCAAGAAATACATGATTTATCAACTCCTCCAAGGCTTCACATCTGGCACAACAAAGATCTCCATGTATTTCTCTCGCTTCTAAATTTTTCTTAACTAGTATACATCCAGTTACTAACTGCCATAAAAAGTGTTTGATCTTTGGTGGACACTATGCTTTCCAACAAAATGCTTTGAGTATATCCGTAGTTGGTCCAAACACTACCGCTGGTTTCTCCCTGTCTGGATAGACCCTCTCGATATTGTATCCTGACTGGACCGTATATTTCCCATTCTGTGTAAAAGTGCCATCCCTCCTTATCTCGCATATAATTCCTGCTCAGTGGAATGCTCGCTATGATTTGTACATCCTGTGGTGCCACTAGAGACCGAATTGCCTGTAAATTCCAAGTACACGAAGCTGAATCAATGAGAGACTCAACTGTAATATCAGGGTAACTATTATGTTGGTTTTTATTTGCTGGTCTCGGGCGAGTGGTTGGGAGCCAGGGATCATTCCATACGGAGATAGATGATCCTGATCCCACCCGTTTGATTAGTCCTTTGCTAACCAGAGATCTAGTCGAAATGATACTTCTCCAGCCATACGACGGAGTGTAAGATCTAATCGGTTCCAGGGGTGAAGTGTTCCTGTAACACCGACCTTTAAAGACTCGCGAGAATAAAGAGTTTGGTTTCTCAATCAGGCGCCATAGTTGCTTTCCAAGCATCGCCGTATTAAAGTCCGTTATGTCCTTGAATCCCAGTCCTCCTTCATCCTTATTAACACATAATTTTTTCCATGATTTCCAGTGCATACCTCTTGTGCTACCGCTCGGACTCCACCAGAATTGTGCTACTACACTCGTTAGCTTCTTTGTGGTTGCTTTTGATAGATGATAACAAGACATTACATGATTTGGTAATGCGGTAATTACCGATTTGATAATCACTTCCTTTCCTCCGTTAGTAAAGAACTTAAAAATCCAACCATTAACCATACTGTTCAAACGCTCCTGCACAAATCCAAAAACTTGAACCTTGGACCCTCCAATATTTTCCGGTAGTCCCAAATAAGACCCCGTTCCACCCAAATTTTGAATTCCCAATATATCCCGTAACTCCTGTCTGCTAGATTCCTCAATCTTGTGTCCGAATTGTATCGATGATTTTTGAAAATTTATTTGTTGTCATGATACGATCTCGTACTCCTTTAATATCCTGAGAATAGTTTGACATTTCTCATTTTGTGCCCTGCAGAAAAAAAGACTATCGTCTACGAAGAGTAAGTGCGATATCGATGGGCAAGCTCTTGCTACCTTCATTCCGGTCAATTGTTTCTCCCTCTCAGCCCTTTTATATTTGTAATTAATGCCTCAGTACACATAATGAATAAATAAGGCAATAACGGGTCCCCTTGACGTAGCCCCCTATGGGGAATTATGAGACCGCGGGGTTGCCCATTCAGTAATATCTGGTATTGGACCGATGATATACACTCCATCATTAATTTAATCCAGCGGATATCAAAACCCATTTTCCTTAAGAGTGCCTGGATAAAGTCCCATTCTACCCTAACATACGCTTTACTCATATTCATTTTGATAGCCATATACTTACTCTGGCATGCTTTGTTGGTTCTTAATCCAGGAACATCTTCTGAGCTATTAGAATGTTATTCGAAATCAACCTTCCAGCCACAAATGCCGATTGAGTCTCTGAGACAAGTGTGGGGAGACATTGCTTTAACCGCTGACACAATACCTTCGAAATAATCTTGTACCCAACATTACACAAACTTATTGGTCTTAGGTTGGTCATTCTAGTAGGCCGTTCCGTCTTTGGGATCATACAAATGTTGGTAATGTTTAACCTTGAGTCCAATTCTCTTGACACCAGGAATTTGTTCACCATGTCCACCAGATCGTGCTTAATTATATGCCAAGAATGTTGAAAAAATAGAGATGTCATTCCGTCTGGTCCCGGAGCCTTTTCTGGGTGCAGCATAAAAAGGGTCTGGTGAACCTCTTCCTCTGTCGCAATACGCAGCAGCCTCTGATTCGTCTGAGAAGTGATAGTTGTTGGTATCTCCTCCAGGACACTATCAAACTCAGTTGGAGAGGTGGTACTAAATAGCTCCTCGAAATAATCCACTGCCACTTTCTCCACCATGTTCTCCTCTGTGACTCAATTTCCATGTTCATCATAGGGCCCAACAATCATATTACGGACCCGCCGTTGTTTTGTTAAAGCATGGTAGAATTTTGTGTTAAGATCTCCGGATGTATACCACATATTCCGACTTTTTTTTGTACCAATAATCTTCTTCATCTTTATATGCCTCCTGTAATTACTTCGATACCTCAAATATATCCTCTTGAGATCTATTGTTGTTGGTTTGTACCTCCTCGAGGGCTTTTTGAGGTTCGTTAATTTTTTCCTTTCCGTATGGTGGGTTATCTTTCCGCCAATTAGCAATCTCATGACGACAATCACTAATTTTTGAAACGAAATCCTTAGCTTGCCCTCCATTATTTTCGGTCCATCCTATAGCAATTGATTCCATGAGGCCGTCCTTTCCTATCCATCTCTTATCGAAACGAAGCTGCCCTCTTCTCCTAGGAACCTTATCTTCTAGATATGCCATGATTGGCCGATGATCCTAAGCAAATCATTCCAAGATACTCTGTGTAGGAACATGGGAAGAGCGTGTGCCAATCTTCATTAGCTAGAGCACGGTCCATGCGACACGAACCATCATTGCCTCTTTCCCTTTCCCTCTTCTTCCTTGACAAGAAATTTTGTTTCCACGAGCCGGAAACTCCAATAAACCACTATTTCTGATCATGTTGTTGAAAGGTTCGAAGGATGTGGTACTCCTTAAGGATCCTCCCTCATTTTCATGATTCCCAGTAATCTCATTCAAATCTCCAATAATGAACCATGGTTCAGATCTCGCTATCCCATATTTATTTAATCGCTCCCATACTTGCTTTCTTAATTGTTGCACCGGGTCACCATAAACAAAGGTAACAAACACCTGTTTACCAAGAGTTTCTGCTTCCACATCTATCATTCGATTTCTAGAATCTAGTACCTTAACCTGATAGTCATTATTATAGAAGAGGGCGACTCCTCCAATTTTCCCAATTGGATCCACCGTAACCAAATTATCATAACCAAAATGTGATTGAAATCCTTACACGAACCCAAAATCTTGTTTCGTCTCAGATAAAACAAGAAATCTGATTTATGTTTATGCCATATCTCCCGGAGGTAACTAATTGTCCAACTACTACCCATTCCTCTGCAGTTCCAACTTAGCACTCTCATTTAAAAATGATTGAGGAAATGCTCCTTTGAGCTATGTAGTTAAGTATAAAGATACTCTGAACTATCTTTAATACCCTGTTGCTCCCCAGAACAACCTCTTTGTAGATAATGTCCCAATTGGAGAATAGTTTAAGAAACTTTCTTACCCTTATGGTCGATCTATTATTCCGCGTAAGACTCCAGTGTAGTGCTATAAGTGATCTTACAACCCTTGCTTTTATTCACAAAGAAAATTTCGTATCCCAACCATACCAAATATCTCCCGTGTCTCCCATGCTGATGTGTGATTGGTTTAATGGTGCCAACCACGTTATCTGGTGTAATGATAATGAGCATACCAATAATTGTATCCTTATGCCATCCCATAATGCAAACCAAAGCAACCCTGTGTACCATTAGAGGAACCATGACTGCGTATGTGTTTCACATAAATGATGATATGCCAAAAATCGCTTACATACTCGTCGAAGAATGAAATCCCACCACCAAAAAGAACTTAACAGTCCCATTTTATTCCATAACAGTCTCATTTTATTCCATAAAGTTATTTTATCATAAGACCA